GTGCATCGTATCTGGGTCAAGAGGGGCGCGCCTATCAGTGATTAATTGGTTCTTGGAATCGGAAGGAGTCCGGAGATGATTATAATATTATACGTTAATATTCTAATTTATTATCTCATCCTTTTCTCAGTCTTTCTCTTTCTTTCTCGCTGATGTGCGAGCGCTGCCTTTTGGCGAGCTCTCGAGAGAACGCATACGCGTCTCTAGAAACGCATGCGCGTTTCACAGCAAATTATTATCGGGGAATTTCCACCGATAACAAGACAACAACAAAAAACTCCTTTGACGTCATCTAGATGGAGTCCCCAGTTTTTCTAAGAATAATTCAAAGGGTGACTGATTTCCGTTGGAAGTTCAATTTTTTCCTAATCGATGCATTATTTTGATCACAAGTATTACACTCTGAATCATCGGGTAATTCAAGAGGATTGATTGTGCAGTACAAGATCATGTTTTTTTGTTTTGCATATTCCTCCCACTCTATTTCATTCATGCAATAATAAGTATCAGTGCAAGCATTTGCTTCAAGAAATAACTAGATAGTTTTCTGCAGATGATACTTTCAAGTCATCGACGGTTTAGGAATTTTACTAGCGGTTTAATGAGAAAAAAAAGTTTGAAGAAAAAAGCAAAACAAATCGGCGTTTATTTGGAAAAAGGCAATGGATAGAAGTGTTTGAGATTGGCGATGAATACTGCACTTCGAAAAATTCAAGAGAGACTGAAATGCGTTGCAAACATTTTTAGAAACTCCTGCAGGTTTTTTTTTTCATGCGGAAATCAGGCATTACGCCGAGTCCGTGGACTAAATTTTTGCTCTGCCTAGAACTTACGTAAACTAAATTGTTCTCAGTTGAAATTGAGAGAATTGTTTTTTTTCCTTTCGAAATGAAATACTTCAAATTTCCATAAAATTGAACGCATCATTCACGAAAATATTCATTGATGTCACTAGTAAATCAATCAAGCACATGTGGGAGAGTGAAAAGAGAAATAATATGGGATCACTCACCCAGTAAATCCATGAGAATGAACAGCTGAATATCTTCAAGTTTCCCTTCAGTTTCCCACAATTCTGCCAAAGCAGTGGATCCGTATAACTTGTCACCATCAACCCAAGCTTTAACAGCCTCTTCTCCATCGAAAAATATGAGCTGCAACGTGGTTCCATCGACACAATCCACAGTTTCTCGGCGCAGTAATTTATTAGATTCTTGAGGCGATGGACTGAAAGTTTCACTGATGCTCAGCAACAGAGCGCAAGGAACAGCAGAATCCATAGCTCCCAAGAATTCGCTATTGGCATTGAAGTACTTGGACTCGTAATGACACGCAACAACGACCTAATTGCAATGCAAATGGAAAACACATTAATAATTGAATTCAAAGCGCAGCTTTTGAATCTCTTCAATACAGGCTCGATCTTATTATTCAGTTCGTTCGTCCTGGATCTTATTAATTCAGTTCGTTCTTATACCGCTTTTTCCCTCAATCGTATACGAGTTTATTTTATCGCTTGCAGTTATTTCAGTGACTGCTTTCAGTCTCAGTTAGAAAGTCAGTCACCGTTCCTAATGAAAGCTGTTTTATATGAAGGTAATCGAATCCTATAGGATGTTGTCTAAGCATTTAAAGCCAGTAAATAAAAAAGACAGTATTGTATTTCCTTCGTAGTTCTGAAATATCAAAACCCTGTGGTCTTCAGAAAAGAAGAACTGAATAGACGTTAAATAAGTTCTAAAGGTTTTTAAATAGACGCTTTTCTGCCGTACCTAGTATACCTTGAAAGTAATACCTCTGACCTGAATGCATGTATTCACCCTTTTTAAAAACACGGCTACATTTTCCTGATAACCTAATTTGAATTTTAAAAGTAATAAATCTTCCCGTTCTTTTTTTAATTTTCACTTACTGTAGTCTTCAAGGTGGTGTAAAGCAATGCCGAAAAAATTTCAACAGATGAACGAAATAATAAGTTTGGAATATAATTAATAAATCCGGTTGCTCGTCGTAATTTCATGAAATCAAAAGGAGATAAAAGCCGAAAATCCTTCTTGGGAGAATTATTAGAAAATGGGATCGATTCTTTCCGCAAAAATACGGCATAATACATTCCAGTACTTGAAATGAAGAAATTATCGGACCTTCTTGCAAGCGAGAGGATCTCTTGTAGCTATGATATTGACGAACTCTTTGGATCCTGTCATGATTTCGTCGACGTCCGGAACACTTTTGATGAATGAATGAAGTTCCACGTCCCAGCCGTGGGATTCCAGTGATTGGATGATCCAACTCCGGATGTTTTTCAAGGAGTCAGAGCCGATCTCCCGACGAACCAGAAAATTATTCAAGTATATTTCCCGAAATTCGTCCCAAGATCGCAAGGAAAGTCTCGCAAGTCGCTGTTTCTCCCCAAGATGAGCCTCGATCCCTTCCTGTTTGTCTGATTCGATTTAAGACATATTATTTCATTTTTGGGTGAAATGCGGTAATATCATTTAACGCGTATATATAGAAAGTAGCATGAAGTATTGTTTTCTCACTCACCCGAAAATGACATTGCGTCGCTTAATGCACTTAAAACCACCAAAGAAATGAAAACTTTCGGATTCATTTTTAGGAAATTAGACCACATATCGGCAGAATGGTGTGCTAAGAACTGAATTTTGATGCATGAAAGCTGGCACTTTATCGCCCAAATATGACGTTAATCCAGGTTCTTATCGATCATGCACGAAGACATGAATATTGATAAATGAATAAATACAAAAGTGCAACTTGGAACACAATTTGAAATTGAAAAACGGCGACATGAAACTCAAGCATATGACTATATTTGAGGCATAGTCTGAAAAATGGTATCACAGCTTTCATACGCGTACATCATCTTCAGGAAAACATTCAAGCTATGGCTTGCTACTAACAACAAAATACAAGTCAACTTCACGTTCATTCGTCGAGAAAAAAAGAACAATAGAAAAAGGGGAAATCTGTCAAAATTAGTCACTATACTATCTACCTCGAAACCTAAGGATGGGATTCATCGGCAGAAAAAGTTCGACTCAATACCAAAGAGGAGATGACGAGCGACGAGTATAAAGCTTAAAATCTGGATCGCGTCGGATGAAAAAGTTGTCGAGGGGATTGTTCACATTTTTTGAAAGTTTGATGCTACTGAAAGGAAGATGTGTTTGAGGAAATACTGAGATAGGAACCCATCATTCCATGGCGTAATTTCGGAATGCGTCTTCGTTGCTTCTTCTCAAATTCAGTCGCCAGCTTGTCGTCAGTCCGGCTTTGCAACAAATTCAAGATATCTCTTTCTGGAATTGCGACAAAAAAAATGTTTCGATCAATGGTTGACGAGAAAGAAAATTGGCTGAAAATTAATTAATTCATTCACCTTCATTTGAACCTCCGGGAAGCGTGAGTGGCAAGCAGATCTGCGGTAAATCATATTTTCGTACATTTTCCTTCGCTTCTGAGATCTCTGAAATGGGTAGAACGGCTTCTCCCAAGAAATAATTTCGCTTAAAATGATGTTGATCGTTGGCCGTCACGATCAACACGGCGTCTTTACAATCTGCTTGCTCGGGAATTTTTCTGCATTTTAGAAAAAAAATGGGATTAAGAATAACTTTGACTCATGGAACCTGGATTCTTGCTGTACTCACAAATTTATCTCGTGCTCATAAAGCGGCGTCTTCGTCACCTTTTGAACCGGAGTTTTTCCTTTGTTCAAGTCGAGTGATTCCTCGTTGTCACACCAACGCCCAAAAATCCGAATAGAAATATACGAACATGGCGCTGCAAAAACAAGAAGGAATAAAGTAACTTCCAATAAATTTGAAATTTTGTTCAGCAAAAAAACAAAAAAAAAATTGGCCATAAGTTTTTTTAAGCGAAATTCTTCGTGCTTTTCTTTCTCCGCGTCTTTTAAAATGGACGGATACGGACATACTTTTCACAGCAGGGTAAACTTTCAAGAAATTCCTGAGCCCTTTTTTTTCACACACGTTGAAATTAACAAAGTTGACAAAGCCCTGAGAGAGCACTACAATTAACACTGCAAGAAAATAGTTTTTAAATGTTCCTTAGTTGTAAGAACGTTTGAGGTGGTCCTGGTGTTACCCAATATACTATACTGCATGTTGAAAAATATTTAAAACATATTTAAAATTGTTTTAATTGATTATTGACTATACAGTATTATAAACAGTAAAATCTCATTACAAAAAACCCGTCGGAACCTCAGAAAAAGTTTGCTGAATTGAATAATTTGTTGTAACGAGATTTTCAAACATATTGTACTATTCCTGGGGAGATCTTTGAAAATTAAACTTGCACATATTCAGGATCTTCCTTTTGTGGTATTTCCAGATGTTTTTCCATGTTTCAAAATATGATCCTAAAAAAATGCAAGTGTCAATAAAAATTTTTACTCTGAATAACTAGGTGAACACTTTTTGTGAACCTTGCAATTTCTGCAAAGATTTGTGAGGGTGGATGTTCCAAAAGAAGCTCACAGTTTTCAATTATCAGTGGGGTTTCACAAGCATCCAAAACCCATTTTAACATCACCTTTTGAGTTCCTTTTCCCCCCTCTGCATTACATATCAGTAAACAATAATCAAATGTGTTCTTCCTCCCTCCGGACTCCACAGATTAAAATTTTTATTTTGCTTTTCATCATGACGTCGAGAGCATTCAATATTTTATTTCAAACAATATAACGAGGCGAGGAATTTTCAATGATAATTTCCGCCCCAAAAAAAAATAAGCCAAGCACTGTAATGTTTGCGTTATAATGAGAGTGGGTGCTCGTGGATCAGCTGCAAGCAGACAAACTTGTAATGACTCACTGTCACGACCATGACCTTGCATGTCACGTCCGTTCAAGACGTAAACAAAAACCCCGGTCGCCGTCCTGCAGGCTTGCACAGTGATCAAGCCAGTGACAACAGTCGCGTCAGCCGCGTTTTTTCGTCTCGTGTGGTAATACTTGAGAATCAGGTCAGGCGTCGAAATCGATCTCAGCCTCAATTTAGATTCCAGTCTGCTGTAAGTATCCTCCGACAACTGTTCTGGGGACTCGACGCCGCAAATGGCGTTCATGGACGCCAGTGCTTCAAGCAAAAGCGACGCATCCTAAAAATGGCGAAAAAAAAAATGTGTGAAGACGACCTTCGAGATATAAGACGCCACCCAACCTCAGCGGACGAGGGTTGTCCCAGTTCGACGCGGCCTCTGATACATTTTCAGAGTAGGGGTGATTATAAAAATAAAAAAGTTGAAAAACTGTACAGAACGTGATGCTTTGAGGTTCTAGAATTTCTATTTAGATTTTTAAAAACTTTTTTCAATTTACTGTGTGATGGATGATAAGTGAGCATTTTCAAGAAACAGCCAGAGTTCTCCACCCATGTCGCAGGGTGCTAAAAATTTGTCAGGACAGCTAAAAAAAAATTGAAAATGTTTGTGGTTTCATCTAATATATTTTTTCTACGTTTTAGATCGTGGTTTGAAGAAAAAAAAACTTTTTTTTGTCTAGCATCACAATTAATTAGCACCCCGTGACATGGGTGATGGAGAACTCCGGCTGTAACTGGAAATTTTTCCCTTATCATCGTGCAGTAAATTGAAAAACTTCGTCAAAAAAGCCCATAAAATTTTTTACAAATTTTGAGTTACGACGTCATTATATCTTTTTACAATCACACCTACTCTAAAAAAATAGTATAGGTCACGTCCAAGTCAGACAACCCTCGTATCTGTCAAAAATTGCTTTAGTACTAATACAGTATTCCGAATGTTTTGAATAAATTAAAACTTCGATAAAAAGGACATGCACCAATATAAATATCATCGGTATACATATATACATGCTCTGATACATGCTCTGATCAGTATTTTTTCTCCTTTTTAGAACTTGATGACCCATACCTAGTATTTATCAACAATTATTCAACAATAGAACTGCTGTCTTCCGTTTTCCTCATGTTTCGAAAGCGAATTACATGTACTGTACTTGAAAAATATACCGAAATATGAAGTCAACTGAATTTTCAGTGCTCAGAAAGATTGACAACGGAAGACTTAATATTGAAAAAAATTGCTGTCACTGCGTGAAGAAATCACTTCCAACCGAAACGAAAAAAAACTTGAACTCGAAAAAAGCTTGGACAAAACTATCCGAAAAAATGAGGAGACTTTCGCCTTTTTTTTTTTCAACGATCAAGCCTCTCTGAAAAACTCACATTCGGAAATTTGTCGGCAAGGATCTCGGCGGAAACGAGGTATGAAGCCCAGACTTGATCCAGAAAATCGCGACAAATGGAATCAGGCACGTTGCTGTGTAAGCAGCTCAGAGAATTGTCAATTCTGGTCAAAGCTCTGTCCAAAAGCAAAGAACCCGTCGAGGCCGAGTTTTTGCAGCACTCTTGTAAGCTCACCATCAAACTCTCAACCAACTACGAAAAACACAACCAATTGAATTTATAAAAACCCCTGATAGCAAAAATCACAATAAAAAATAAAAGAAATAATGACATATTTTACGCAGTAGATAGAACTTTCTACGGTAGCCCAAAAAAAAAAGCAAAAAACGCTTCAAGATCAGTTCAAGGCATATTACATTTCCAAAATTTCAAGTTTTCAGCATAAGCTTTGAGAAAAATTTAATTTTAGGCACTTCATCTTGAATATATACCTTATTCACAACGGCACGTCGCAGGCGAGTCAATTTTCCGTCCAGTTGCTCAACACCAGATTCCATCAATAGCGTTAAAGATCTCCTGGTACTCGTCAGCATGTTGCGAAGTTTATCAGGATCTGAGGGAATAGTTTGACCTGATTCTGAACTGGTATCAGAATACGTTTCGTTCGTGTCATAGCCAGACGTTTTGGAATCGTCCTCCACCGACTCGCAAGTCATTGCTCCAGGCATAGATTCGTCTCCCGTAGCAGAAAATGACCCTATTCGTCCTATATGGATTAAATAAATTGAGAAAAACACGAGTGCTTTTACTCAAAAAGAAAATTTCTTTGAAAAAATGCTGAAGACGGTTGATCTTAACTTAATTCTAGTCATGTACAGTAATATGTTCTGAAATGTCCAGGGAACCATAAAAAAAATCACGATATTCGTCAATACTGTACAGTACAAGCAACAGCGAAAATACAGCATATTTCAATTGTGCAGGTTTAAGCAATGGCCCTTCACAGATGGATAGTGAAAAATATACAGTATCGTGAAATCATTTTTTTCATCGAACTCGATGATAATTGTACACTGATTAAGCTGAATAAAAAAAATTTGAAGAACTCTAATAGTAATGGATATTTACCTGTTGGTGAATCGCAAACTGATTTCATGATCTCAGCCATAGCATTCACGATCTTCCTCGTGCTGATGTGAGGATCTTTTCCGGATTTTCTCATCGATGATCCAGGCGATGATGTTAGAAGAGGAGGCGCAAGCATTGTTCCAGAACCTCGGCGAACTTTTCGCATATCTTCGCTCCCTTGAAAAAAGGAAAAAAATTGTGTTATTTAATTGAAGAAATTTTAAGAATACCTTTNTAATGACTCACTGTCACGACCATGACCTTGCATGCCACGTCCGTTCAAGACGTAAACAAAAACCCCGGTCGCCGTCCTGCAGGCTTGCACAGTGATCAAGCCAGTGACAACAGTCGCGTCAGCCGCGTTTTCTCGTCTCGTGTGGTAATACTTGAGAATCAGGTCAGGCGTCGAAATCGATCTCAGCCTCAATTTAGATTCCAGTCTGCTGTAAGTATCCTCCGACAACTGTTCCGGGGACTCGACGCCGCAAATGGCGTTCATGGACGCCAGTGCTTCAAGCAAAAGCGACGCATCCTAAAAATGGCGAAAAAAAAATGTGTGAAGACGACCTTCGAGATATAAGACGCCACCCAACCTCAGCAGACGAGGGTTGTCCCAGTTCGACGCGGCCTCTGATATATTTTCAGAGTATAGGCGTGATTGTAAAAATAAAAATAAAATTTAAAAACTTTATAGCACATGATGTTTTGAGGTTCTCGAATTTCTTTTTAGACTTTTAAAAAACGTTTTTCAAGTTACTGTGTGATGGATGATAAGTGAGCATTTTCAAGTAACAGCCAAAGTTCTCCACCAATATCTCGCAGGGTGCTAAAAATTTGTCAGGATTGCTAAAAAAAATTGAAAATGTTTCTTGTTTTATCCAATATATTTTTTCTACGTTTTAGATTGTGGCTTGAAAAAGAAACTTTTTTCTTGGTCTAGCATCACAATTAATTAGCACCCCGTGACATGGGTGATGGAGAACTCCGGCTGTAACTGGAAATTTTTCCCTTATCATTGTGCAGTAAATTGAAAAACTTCGTCAGAAAAAGCCCACAATTTTTTTTTAATTGTGAGTTACGACGTCATTATATCTTTTTACAATCACACCTACTATAAAAACAAGTATAGGTCACGTCTAACTCGGACAACCCTCCTATCTGTCAAAATTTGCTTTACTACTAAACTACTAATACAGTATTCCGAATGTTTTGACTAAATTAAAACTTCGATAAAAAGGACATGTAAATATCTATATGCTCTGATACATGCTCTGATCAGTTCTTTTTCTCATTTTTAGAACTTGAGCACCCATGCCTCGTATTTATCAAAAATCATTTAACAGTAGAACTGCTGTCTTCCGTTTTCCTCAAGTTTCGAAAGCGAATTACATGTACTGTACTTGAAAAATATACCGAAATATGAAGTCAACTGAATTTTCAGTGCTCAGAAAGATTGACAACGGAAGACTTAATATTGAAAAAAATTGCTGTCACTGCG